TCAGCAAAGCAAGAAAACCCTTCTACTGATTTCTCTTAAAGACATAGAGCAATTACTCAATTCATATGAAAGTAATAATCCTTTTGATGGACCTCTTGTATCACATAAACCAGAAAAATTACGTTCAGCAAAAATAGATAGATTGGAAAGTATAGTAGATAAAGTTGTAAACACTGTAGGTAGTGTTGCAGATTCTATAGGTTAATTAAATAATCAATTAGGAAGAATATCACTTAATAATCAATCTCAAAAGCCTTTTTATTGTAGTAATTGTGAATAGGAAAGGCATAAGAAAAATAACTGTTCTAGATTAAATCCTGTAGTTAAATCAAATTTTACCCAGCGTTATTATCCTCAACTTTCACTTATTCATGCAATTATGTTAGAGGGATTAAATTAAACTATTATATAAAACTATGAGTTAGACACCCTGCTAAGCTAAAAGAAATAGTCCTCTATTTATATAAAATGTAAAATATAAAGTTATCGAAGATATAAAAGAAATAAATATAATAAATAAAATATATAAAATAAATAAAATATAATAAATATATGAGATAAATAAGATAAAATAAATAAAAGAAATATATTGTATAAAAGAAATATATGCTATATATGACATAGATGACATAGAAAACATATATGATTTCTTTGGGATCGACGTCATCCTTTAGATCATCATCATCTATGTCTTCTTTTGTATAATATTACTCTCCTTTAAGATTTTGCGTCCTCGCATAAATCTCAGTGGCTTTATCAATTAGATCATTATATTCTACTGTTGATAGTCTAACTATCAACTTAAAGGTGGTTCTTTTATTTCGTGCAATCTGTGCTGATCCAAGGAATTCAAAGAGATAATATATTTGTACTGATGCACGATAGCTTTTTGACGTACACTGAGCGAACTGTAGGGTCCTCTATTTCTTCTATAAGCTTTCTAAGATAAAAGGCATTTGTCAACATCAGAACACGATTGTTTATTCGTTTAGCCTTTGTAACATTTGATTTGCAAGGGAAAACTTCATTTTCACGGGTGTAGTTTCATTGTAAGGGTAAGGATACATCTCAATTTCTTGGAGTATGGTAAGTTGCAGGTCGGCATAATTAATTGAAAATTCTGGGATAGGTGGGAGACACTTCCAATTCTTCCATCTTATTAATCTATCAATTTTAAGTTATGCTTTCTCCTATTTAAATAATTTTTAACTATAATATTCTAGCATTTTCCATAGATTTCTTCAATTTTCAATCAGCACAATGGGCTGAGGTAGATTACGTTGGTGGTACTGTTTTAATCTATCACCATTTATAGGTGTTTTTAAGATTTTCCTGTCCAACATTCTCAATTTGTATACTCCATTTCCAAGATTAACATGAATATAATACGGTCCCTTCCATCTTTCCTCAAGCTTCTTTTTATCTTGTAGATTACTTTTATACATTAAAACTAATTCTCTGACTTTAAAATTAACGCTTCCTTTCAATTTGCGGTTATGTTGCCACTTTTGTTTCTTTTGAGAGTTTTGAATATTATTTTATGCTTGTTGTATTTCATTATCTATCCTTCCAGTTATTTGTCGTACACGATTAATTAAATCTTCTTGTTCATCTAATGTTACATTTTGCATATCTGACGTTTGTACTTGGAATTCAATTAGCAATGTAGCATTTCTCCCATAGGTTAAGTAAAAAGATTCATATTGAGTTATGCTATGCCTTTTTATTTGATATGCAAATAAAGTGGATGGTAGAAAATCATCCTAATCATTTTTATTTTCATTTGCGAATTTTGCTAGTATTTCATACAAAGTCCTATTAAATCGCTTGACAAGACCATTAGTTTGAGGATGATATGCAGTTGTTAACTTATATTTTACTCCCAATTCTTCACATAGAGAATCCAGCATTTGATTTACAAAATGTGTTTCTCTATCGGTTAATAATTCCTTAGGGCATCCATGTCTACAAATTATATTCTCATAAAAAGGAACTACTGAGGATGCTTTTGTGTTTGTAAGAGCTCTGGCTTCAGGCCACTTAGTCAAATAATCAGTTGCTACTACAATATATTTATTTCCTTTGTTCGTAGTGAGTAAAGGTCCAACAATATTTATTCCTATTCGATCAAAGGGTTGTCTAACTTTTATAGGATGCAATGGCTCAGTCCTCTTATTTTTACCTCTCCTTTGACATTCGTCACAAGTTTGGACATATCTTCGTACATCATCATACATTTGTGGCCAATAGTATCTTACTTTGACTCTCCTGTAGGTTTCCTCTAATGCAAAATGTTCTGCTAAAGGATTAGAGTACAAATTGTACAATATAATATTAACTTCATTAATTTTTACAACTTTCAAAGGTCGTTGGAGTTCCTGTTTATTCTTTTTGTAAAGCTGTCCTTCTATCACAATAAAATATCTTGACTTTCTTTTGATTGTTGCTTGTTGCTGTTGGTTCAAATGTGTTGGTATTTTAAGTTCTGATAAATAGTGTACCAGTGAAAAATATGTATTTGAATTCATAGTTATAGATCAGTGCAAAAAGATTTGTACACTACTAAAAAAAGAAAAGATTTACGCTAAAATAAATATCGTATCACTAAAATAAAGTGGACTAAAAATTAAATATTTGTTAGAACATAACCAAACACATTTTTTCTCACAAGTTTTTTTATCATGCCATGAATCTTCCTTTTTTAAAACGAAATGGCACACCACTGACGGATAACAAAAAATTGATGATAATTAATGTTTACAATTACTTTAAGTGGGATAAATCTATAAGGGAAAGCCTTCAGAAGCTACCATTACGCAAGCGGGTTACTGAAATATTGGGTGTATCTAAGGGTACAATTGGAAGTGTTGTGTCAGATTGGAACAGCCGTGGTAATAATACATTTACACTACACAAAGTTCTTGAACGACCTATATTAAAACCTGATGAAAATGTAGCTGAGCTTTTGCGTATGAAGGTTCTAAGTGCCAATAAAGCGGGTGAACACCTTTTTACACCTATTCTAAGACAATTACTTTCTGAACAAGGATATACCATTTCTAAATGGAAGCTCCTTCAGGTACTACATCACTTGGAATATTATTTTGGCCAGAGAGAGCGAAGGAACATTCTTCACGAATCACCAAATAATGTTGCATTCTGTTGCCATTATCTTCGTTATAGGTTTGCTAATTTGGAAGGTAAAAATGATGTTCCACGCCATCCAGAGGTTTTCCTTGATGAGTCATATTACCATTTGCATCACACTTCGTGAAACACATGGGTTCCCCATCAAGGTATTGTTTTATCACCTGGGCATGGACCGTTAGTAGTAATTTTTTGTGCAATTATAGTATTTCGAAATGGGTTCTCCAATAAACTGCATGGTGAACTTGTTTTGAATTCTGTTCATATTTGGAATCCAAAAATTAAACCTTCAGGAAATAGAGGTCAGAAAAGAAACAATGCTGAAGAATGAGACAATATTCCTGATGTCATTAAGGATGTCAATATCATTCCAAATCAGGTAGATTATCATGGAAACTTCAATGCAGAAATATTTGAGAATCTTTTTACAACTCTGTGTAAAAATCTTCATGAAAAATATGGGTCAGTAATCATCCATATGGATGGAGCAGTTACCATAAACGGCGAGTAGAAAACATTCCGATTTCAAGTGCAAAAAAACAAGAAATAGTTGACTGGTTAAATGCACATGATATTTCTTTTTCTGGTGAATTAAGAAAACCGGAACTTTTGAAACTAGTGCAAATGAATGAGGAAAAGGTTCCTTTTTCTTGTTTTAAAATAGCAGAACAGTACGAACATGAAATTAATTTTACCCCTCCATATCATTGGTGAACTTCAACCTATCGAAGGTGTTTGGTCAGTAGTAAAGGGTGAAGTTGCACGTTCAGGCCCACATCCAAACCTTTTATCTATCCGAAACAAACTATTGGATGCATTTAAACACAAAATTACTTCACAAGTTATTATCGGGCTTTGAGAAGGGCGTTAAACAACGCTAAGGAATATTTTGCATCTGACGAAAATGCACAATTAATTGACGATGAATTTGACGATTATAGTAGTTCCGATGATTATCACGTGATTTGATTCAATTTCCACGTTTTTATACTTCCCGATACATATTAATATTATTTAAATAATAAAAAAAAGTTTAATTAATAAAATTTTTTTTATTGGTGGTTTTTTTCAGTGTACAAATGTTTTTGCACCGGACCATAATTGATAATTATTGCAAGGTTAATTATATTATATTTAAAAAACATATCTATTTACAAATATTCATACAAATTTAACATGATATTTCAAACAATCAACTCACAGAACTACTTCATTGTCACTAGCGATCCTTCCAAATGTTGATATAACGAACTTTTTTACCTTCTTTTCCTCAACAAATTTTTCAAATAATTTTAAAGTGATCTAATCATTACGACTAATATATGAAATTGAAAATTTCATTTGCATTAGTGAGTAATTTAATGTGCTTATTATGAGTAATCATATTATAAAATTAAGTGATATCCTCATCAATGAATTTACGCTAGAAATTTAATTTTATTAAAAATTTGCAATGCTGTCAAATGCTTTTTTTCTCTCCTAAGTTCAAATTCTAAATATTCAATAATGAAATTGGGTCATTCGCAAATCTTGAAAATAATTAACCTTGTTAAAATTTCTTATTCTTCTTACTCGGTCCAGTTCATTTCACCGATAAACGTTTACCTACATTATTTAACGACTTACAGGATCATTTGGCCGACAAACGTTTCACCGCCGGTATCATTTCATCAACACGATCATTTCGTCGGCAGTTTATTTTTTTTTTATAAAATTTTACATTATAAATTAATCATTGATAGAAAAATAAAATAAATAAAACTTCATATTTAAAAGATTATTAAAAAAAAAAAAATTGAAATTTCAATTTCGGGCAGTCAAACTTGAAAATTTCAAACAGGATCTATAATTTAATGCCCGAACTTAGTGATCAATTGTGGATTTGGTCTTTGACAATAATAATGATATCTCAAGTTGTCTATTGCATAATTTCAAATATGAGCAACGGCCAACTTATAGCGCCGTGTTCCAAGTTTCCAATTTTCCTCAATTTTAAATTGGGGAAATGGTTAGCTTAGGGCATCTCATGTCTCAATTTCCAATTTGCCTCAATTTTTAATTGGAGCAGTGTTCAACTTGGTGCACCACATGTCTCAAATTAATTTGCCTCAATATTAAATTGGGACATTGTCCAAATTTGAAGTTTCAAATTGGATTGCCCGAAATTGAAATTTGAATTGGGGCAGATCCTTAACTTGGGGCACAACATTCACAGGTATTCTAAATAATTTTCCGGATTGCAAATATTTTTAGATTGATATTGAATTTCGTCTGTTTCTAAAAACAAATTTATTAGTATAAATATATAACTTCTCGTACAAATAAAGATGTTACTACTCTATTCAGTCCGTTGTATTAAGGATACAGTATAATACAATTTTTCTTAATTTATCTTAAAAGAGTATAGCTTATGAATTTAATAAAATCTTTTTCCTTTTAAACAAAAAAGAAAATAAAATTTTTAAAAACAAATGCAGTATTATCATCAGCCTTAAAAAAAAAATTTATTACGAAATTGTATACTTCTCATATATTTAGACCAAATTTCCGTTCGAATATTTTTTTTTTTATATTATATAATATATTTTTATACCTCTGGACCCGCGTCAGATAATAAGAACTTTTGGAATTTCGGCGGGTTGCATTTTTTTTAATTTAATTCGTAACAAGCAACGCAAATTAACATTATTAAATCCATTGGGATAATTGTCTTTAACAACTTAAGTTTGGTATTTCTAATTACGTTGCTTTAATAAGAATATATCGTAGGAAAGATTTACAACTTGCCGGTAATCTCGATTTTTTCTGGGATCGTATGATGTTCATAAGAAACCCTAAATACAAGTATTCTGTTCACAATCACTGTATAGTTAACAGTTTGAATAAGTATCAGATGTAACATCGTCGCCGACTATGAATTTTCTTACGCGTCTAATCAAGTGTCTTGTTGAAACTTTATAGTGAGGCCTAAGCATCATAATTCAACATTAAAGCTTGGCAAATTTATTCCATTTGTCTTAATAAATAATTGTTAATAATAATTAACCCATCGTTTGTCTCAGTATAATAATTTTGTAATTTTTTCTTAAAAAAAAAAAGACTAAACTGATTCGTTAAAATTCTAGATTCTAAAATTCTTTACGGAATAAAAAAAGGCTAAAGATAAAGTGGCATAATTGGCTTGCAACATAACATCTTTTAAACAATTTAATTTACAATCCTAAATAAAAAGAAACAACCAGTGAAATATTATTTATTGTACGTAAATCATATCGGTCTTGAACTTACAGTGCTAAAAATGACGAAATCAATTCATAATATTTTTCTTCAATACCCACCTATAAAAAAAAAATCTAGAATAGCGTGTATCACCAGAGTCTCCTAAAGCATTCTGAATTTGAGTATTATGTTAGGCGTCGACCGCAATATTTCGAGGCGGAATGATCTGTTACATACTCATACAAAGGACAAATCCAGGGGGACCTTGCCAACAATATATGTAAAAATATACCTCTTCAACAAAGATGTTGAGCGAGAATTTAAATCTCATAAAAAACCTGAACCTAAATATATTTTCCTTTGTACTACACTTTTCTTGACATTTTTATTAATGTGTGAATGAAATTGATTCAGATGAAAATTGAGATTCCAATTTCAGATACCCTTTTTGTTATCAGAATTCCCACTTCAGACAACTTATAAAAAACCAATCACAATATACCAATTTTTTTTTTTACAGTTAACCGTCTTTTTAAATAAAATTATATATTTTCAGACTTAGCATACTAATAATTATCTTTTTAGCTAAATTATAATATTTAAAACAAGATGATAGCATTTAATTTCGCGGCATTTATTTATTAAATTTCATATGATTTATTTATTTTTTTTTTCTATTTTTCTTAATTTTCGATTATTCCTTTTTTGTTTTTAATGATGTTATTTCCAGTTATTTCTTTTTTTTTCGATTTTATTTTAAAATTATAACGTAAGTAAAGCTTTTTTTATTTCATTTTATAATTTTAATTGTTGAATCGATTGAATGTAAGATATTCTTTTTTTTAATTTTTTTTTAATTCTTTTATCTTTTTTTAACTTCGATTTTATTTTCATCCAGGTTTTTCGATCGCATTGGGTGCTGCGTCAGTTAAATAAGTGAGTTTTTTATCTTTTATTTTTTTTGTTTCATTTTTATCGTTTTTTACCGAATCAATTCCGATTCAACGATTCAATTTAGAAATTGAAGAAAACAGGTCGTGTTCGCTATACGTGCTTCAAAAGTCAATATTTTGGCATTTTTTTTTTTTTATTTACTTTCAATTCAATGGTAATGGAGCATAGATTTCTAGATCTGATGTAAGTAAATGACGATACGATTTTTAAGTTTTTTTTTTAGATATACGAAATCTCAATTGAGAAAGTGATCACAATGATAGTCTACATCAGATAGGACACCACATAATAAGTTGGCTGATTAATAATCCAAAAAATTCCAATACTAAAGATAATTGAAAAATCTAAGTTCGAAAATCGATTGAAGACTAATGAATATATTTATAACTAAAAATATGAAAAAGTCGGCGGAGTATAAAAATAAAAATAGTAATATATAGAATATGATGTAGCAAAGTTTTTTCAAGTAATTCCTAAATATTGAAGTGATTGTGGTGTTGCGACAGATACTTGTTTCTATTTCATATGTCACAATATTTCTAAGTACAGTAAATTTAAAATTGGTAACTAAATGAAAATTTTTTTTGGAAGTTTGTTTGGATAATCATGGACACGAAAAAAAAATTTTTTTTTTCGCAGTTACACCGGATTATTATGTCCGAAATGCGCATTTAGGGGTACAACAGACCGATGGCTTAAAAACCTGACTAACGTTGCATTACATTTTTTTTTTTTGCTTTTTCTCCAAGAAAATTTATTATTTCGTTTCGCTATATAACAAAATTAAAAAAATCAAAATGCAAGATGCCAATAATTCGAATGAGTCTATTAATTGGACTGAAGAGGCAATCTCAAAAAATCATGTTAAATACTACGAATACGAACATTTTAGCAATGTTCATAAGATTGGTGCAGGCAGCTCTGGAAAAGTCTATCGTGCAAATTGGAAAAATTCAAAACAACCTCTCGCGTTAAAATCGTTTCATAATTTTGACAACGCCACTGTTAAAGAACTTGTTTGTGAGGTAATTAATATACAATACGTGCTTCAGTCTATTTCAGTTTATTAAATATAAAATCATCAAGCTAAAATCTATATTTGTTATAATTTAGCTCAAACTTCAACGTGAAGTAGATTTTCATGATAATATTATTAGCTTTTATGGGATAACTTCAAAACAAAGTATGCAATGTTTATAATAAAGTTTATTAAAGATATTTGTCGACATTTTTATTTTTATTTTATTTTATTTTTAACTCATTTATAAATTTATAAAAAAAAAACTTAGGAAATAAAAATGATCAAATGAAAAAGTATTGGATAGTAATGGAATATGCCGATGGTGGTGCACTTAGAAACTATTTGAAAAATAATTTTGATAATCTCACTTGGGATGATAAATACAACTTTGCATATCAGCTGGCTAGCGCTGTGTCATGTTTACACGAAGAAGGAATTATACATCGTGATTTGGTAATCTTCATAATATATATCTTATCTTTTTTATTAATGCTGCTAATAATTAATCATTATTTTATTTATCATAGCATTCCGGCAATATATTAATTCGTCAAGGGATGATTAAACTTGCTGATTTTGGTTTATCGAAAAGAATTGAAGCGGCAACTAAACAACAGACAAAAGCCTTTGGTGTAATTCCTTATATTGATCCAATAAGATTTGGTAGTCCAAAAGGAAATGACAGTACATCGCAACAAGAATCGCTAACTGAGAAAAGTGACGTTTACAGTGTCGGCGTGTTGTTATGGGAAATATCAAGTGGTCGACCTCCATTTTATGCCGAAGATGAACCATACGACATTGATTTAGCTATAGATATTTCACAAGGACTCAGAGAAAAAATCATTCCGGGTACTCCTGAAGATTATGTAAACATTTATACAGGTAAAAGACTATTATAATCATAAATTATAAATTTTAAATTTAAATATAATGTTTTCGATCACTAAATTTTTTTTATGATTTTAGAATGCTGGGACAACGTTCCAGACAATCGTCCGTCTATGAACAAAGTAGTTGATGAATTAAATGCTATTATTACAAAAACGAAAAAAATGAAAAATGATCAAACTAATAATAAAGAATCAAACCTTCAATCATCAGAACAACTTATTAATTCTAGTATGAATAATTCATTACAAGGGAAATTATCTCGAATAATTAGTTTGAATCAGATGAATGTAGAAGAAGTAGGGTCGAATAATGAAACGCCCGTCATCATTTATGATGTTACTATTGAAAGTTTAAAGATTACGGATCTTAACAAGGATATATTGAACGCCTTTGGAGGATTGCAAAGATATCGGAAATTAAAAGTACTCAATTGTGGTAATACTCAAATAATTAGTTTACCAACTTTACCCGACTCCTTAACAATACTCTATTGCTATAGTACTCAAATAAATAGATTACCAACTTTACCAAACACCTTAACAATACTCAATTGTAGTAATACTCAAATGAATAGCTTACCAACTTTACCCGAATCCTTAACGGAACTCTATTGCAATAATACTCAAATTAATAGCTTACCTTCTTTACCAAACTCCTTAACAATACTGATTTGTAGTGATACTCCAATAAATAGCTTACCAACTTTACACAACTCCTTAACATTACTTAATTGTCGTAATACTCAAATCACAAGCTTACCAAATTTACCTAACTCCTTATCAAGACTTGATTGTAGTAACACTCAATTATATAGCTTACCAACTTTACCAAACTCTTTAAACAAACTCTGGTGTGTCGATACACATATAACTAGATTACCAAATGTACCCGATTCCTTAATGGATCTCCAACCCGCATCTTTATATAGCGTTAAATATTAAAGAGTTTTTCATCAAACTTTTCCTCTCTTCTGTCTTTTAAATATTTCTCAGCGAAATAATTTTATTAAAATATATTAAATGATTTATTT